GTCCAATAACAAAACACCACTCGGATTTAGATCGGGGAGGCCGTTCTTCCCAATCACGCCCCTCCAGGTGTCACTGTCGCTGCCCACGTGGGCGTTGAAGTCCCCCAACAGGACGATGTAATCCCCGGGATGAGCACTGTCCAGTACCCCTCCCAGTGCCTGCAAGAAGGCCTTGGGAGACCCTACCAGAGGCATTAAGCCCCCGACAACATAGCTCCTAGGTTCATTCGGATACTCGAACCCCTCCACCACGTTAAGGTTGCGGTTCAAGGAGGGGGCATTGTGTTGTGTGGAACTTAAATTGAATAATTAAATTAAGAAGAACGACTTTAATATATGGTAAACAAAATGTCTGTATTATTTGCTGTAAACGTTATTTTTGTCAGTATTTAAGTAAAGATGTTTAATTCGACTAAACAACACAAAGATCCACTCGTATACACCCTCTGTAGGGTGGCATATTCATTTGAATATTTCTGTAGTAGAGACACCAAAACAGATCAGTCTGTCTGTTTTCCCTGTACTCTCTCTACACACTATTCCCCATTTCCTCTGTCTGAATAACAAGGGCAAAGTCTGACCCAGTTGCCATTTGTAAAGTGTGTGTATGTGTGTGTGTGTGTGTGTGTGTGTATTTGTGTCTGTGTTCATGTTTAATTGCCTGGTGTAGTAGAAAGCAAAAAGTCACACCCCAGAATAACAGCCAAAAAAAATATTTTGCTATTTCAGCACAAAAACTGAGAAGGTTTCTCTGAATCATTGTTATTTCAGCCAGTGATTACAGTGTGGCAGATGGTGGGATAATGAGCTCTTCCCTTCACTAAATGTGTAATTATATCTAAATTATCAAGATGAATTATTATAGATTGACAATGGAAATTTCTCAAAGATCTCAAAAACAGTCATTAAGCATAGTTTCTTAACCCTGGGAAGGTCTTAACCAATGTATGACAATACATAATGTGAGGCAAATGAAGTAGCATCCATCCATCCACCGCCACCCATCCATCCATCCATTTTCATCCGCTTATCCGTTACCGGGTCGCGGGGGCAACTGTCGCCACCCAAATCACATTGCACCGTACCAACCCCCTAAACCTTCCTGCGGGTGGTGAGTCCACTGGAAGGTACCAACCGCTCTAACTGGGATTCGAACTTGCCCAGGAGGTGAACCTTGGGGTTCCACACCAATGACAGAGACATTGCCTCTGGGCCAAAGTGCCACCATGAAGTTGCAGATATTTCTTTATTTTCTTTTATATGGTTAGGGCCATGTGGCAAATACTCTTATCCTTTGTTCAAGCAAGAACCATTTGCAATTGAAACTTGAAGCGCTCCTACTGGGGCCACACCTTGTATTACACAGCTAGTATTTTTAGTATCAGGTGGTTCATTTGCTAAATCCCTTGCTTCAACGATATGCTAATTTGTTTCTTGGAAAGACACAATTTGTTTCTTCAGTCATGCCAGCTCTAAGCAATGGTTGAATGACATTACAGAAATAACTGCACTTTGAAGCAGTAGTTAAAGTTAGGGCTAGAGAGGCAAGGGGCATGTGTTGAGATACAGTATATCGAGCAATGGATGTTATAATATATATAGCTGTGAACTTTTTTTGTACTTCACCTTTACTATGTGTGGTTATTTTACCTGGTTACAGGTTATTTTTTAAATATATTTTTTTTGTTTTGTATATAACAAACAGGATAACATAATGCCCTGGCAGTGGCAATTGGCTTTACCATTACAATAAATAGTGAAATAATTATTTAGTTTTTTTTTTTACATGAAATGTCAAATTTGTATTTTAATTGGTATTTTAATTGATAAATACACATTTATATATTTTATTTACCTAATGATGCCAGTGTTGCATATAAGCCTCTACAGTGGACCCCTGAGAATCCACTGTAGAGACTTATATGCAACACTGCCATCAAAACCTATTCTTATCATAGAAAATGACATTTTAATAGTTGTCCACTGTAGTGACCGTCATGCATGAAAGGGATAATCTGCTAACATCCACTGTTCAGGTTTCCCATATTCATTGACAGTGTGCTGCTACTAATGTTTGTACTTTATTGTATTTTTTCTAGTGTATTTCATTGTGTTTCTACTGTTGTTTTGCTATTGTAACGCTGCTGGAGCCTTAATTTTTCCAAATTCCTGAGGGATTAATAAAGGGAGAAGAACAGGGGCGCACATCTATTACCAGTGTAATTTTGCGTTTATAGTTATTCCTGTTATTGTTGTTCTCAGTGTTAAAATATTACCTAATCAAATATTGTTATACTGCCTGCAGTATTGCTGTTTTATTGCTGATTGTGCTGCTATGATTAAATGAAACGAGCCATGGGTTTACGGTAATGTGAATATTAAATGTTAAAATACACATTTCTCTGTTATTTTGTTGTTTTGAAGATAAAAATATAATTTATCAATCTTTCATTTGGGAATGTATAGATAATTAATATAATTAATATAGATAATTAAATATAGATATAGATATTAATATAGATAATTAGTACAATAGACTAATTGAACTCTTATGGAAGGAGAGGAGGATGTTTTTTGTGTATAAATATTCAGTTTTGGTAAGTAAAATGCATTCCTTTTTTACACTTTTTTAAACGTATATTCTTTTTAATGTAATTGTTGATGTTTTTTACATGTGGCAACTGTGGCTGAATTTATGGCTAAATTAGTTATCTAGGATGTTGCAAGCCATTATACATTTCTTCATAATATTGATGGTTTCTATAGCCATAATAATGGCTATAGAAATTCACATCTAAATAATTATTTAGATGTGAATTTATTCAGGACGGATGGCATGCCTGTCTGTTAGATATTGAACATGTGCTAACCATGTTAATGTGTTTTTATATTGCTTTGTTTCTCATGTTTTATTGATGTCATTGTCTCATTGTCCACACATATATGTGTGCATACATTAGCACATGGAATGAATAAATTCACGCACATGCACACAGGGATTTGCTCCTGCAAGCCTTGGAACCCTGTTCATAAATCAATATCTACCACGTCACTTAAATCATGAGGACATGAACCAAGTACGCTCCTGTTAACTTTAAAACTCACTGGTTGTCTTGAAATGTCCGTGCAAACATTTTACAGACCTGTCCGCTCTTATTTTTTTTTTTGCTCATCATGATTATATATAACCCTTTCATGCATGACGGTCACTACAGTGGACAGCTATTAAAATGCCATTTTCTAGGATAAGAATAGGTTTTGATGGCAGTGTTGCATATAAGCCTCTACAGTGGACGCCTGAGAATCCACTGTAGAGGCTTATATGCAACACTGCCATCAAAACCTATTCTTATCATAGAAAATGAAATTTTAATAGCTGTCCACTGTAGTGACCGTCATGCATGAAAGGGATAATATAAGTATCAGAAACAACTTATTTTATTATTATATTTGACACTGTTTTACCAACTCCCCCCTTTTTTGCTTTTTCCCCCTTTTTTGCTTTTTTCAGCTGTTTCTTTTACAGATCAACAGCAGATGGTTGCGTCACAGGATTTGTTTTGTTGTCACTCTTGCTTGACTTGACACTGAAATTGTTATTGCACGTCTTAGATACTGCCATGCAGCTCATTCTTGCTCTGTGTGGTCTACCAAAACGCTGTGTGTACTGCTAATCCTTGGTTTAGCATGGGTGTCCCTGTGAATTAAGTACAATGAACTAGTCATGTTGTTATAGATCAATGAATCTAGATAAATTTATGTGTGCAAATAATTATGCATTCTTCATTATGCATTTTTTGGCTCATCTTATGTTGCAGTGTTCCTTTTTGCAGTTTTTGGTCGCTCATTTACTTAGGCCATTCTTCTATTCTTCTATGCCCTGCCCCCTGCTGCTTGTGAAAATCTTTCACAGCAAAATTAATATTGTCTCAATGCTACTGTACACCATAAAATTAAAGATGGCAGTGTTGCATATAAGCCTCTACAGTGGATGCCTGAGAATCCACTGTAGAGGCTTATATGCAACACTGCCATCTTTAATTTTATGGTGTACAGTAGCATTGAGACAATATTAATTTTGCTGTGAAAGATTTTCACAAGCAGCAGGGGGCAGGGTTAGGTTGGTTTCGGTGGATAGGGGGCAAAGGGTGGCCCTGGACTGGAGGATATGGGTTTAAGAATAAATTTTATTGTGTTTTTTTCTGGCAGTGTCAAAGAATGGGTTGATCAGATGCAGAGAGAGCTTATCACTTTGGCAGACAAGGCTACAGCTGGAAAGAGTCTCACTCAGGTATGAACATACACAGACGACTTAAGGCACAGTGCACGTAAAATTATTAGAATTTACTTATTTTGGCTAGTGATTATGGTGTCAACATTAAAAAAGTAAATATATCATTAAATATTTACTTCAGACACTACACTGACTTTGATCAGCGAATTTAACAGATACAATTAATATATGATGCACTGCAACACTGGATCATGAAATAATTGAACAAATAAATGTTTATATGTTGTTTTTTTTTTACATAAAATAAATTGCTATTGCTATGAATTAATGACACATTTATATATTTAATTTTAAGATGGTTTAACAATAGTCATACCTATGAAGAAACAGCCAAAAAAAATTAGCCAAATAGGTAGCCCGAAATCATTAAAGTCAACTTAGTCAACAGAACATTAATAAATATTACCCTGTGTTAATAATGTATTTTAACATAAAACTGTGAGTGAAATAGACTGACAAAACTAATAGACCAGTCTTGTGGTCATTTGCATGTTGGGTACATATTCTAACAATATTCTATTTCCTGCATTTGTTTAGATCTTCGTGAGAAACCAGCATCTTTACACTGTAGAGCAAAACGATGCGGAGGAGCTAGTGGCCAGAGCAGCCAGGAAAATTGAGCAGCTATTGCGCAAGAGGTCCGCTGCTCTCAAGGTAAGACTTGTCTAGAAGTTGAGAAAGAAACAGAGTATCACAAATTAATACATTTAATTGTTGTCCATCAAGTATTTGTTATTTTGATGAGCAGAACCTATTTTCCATTCATAAGTTGTGTTCTGGCTGTGACCCAGGCCCCGACCAATCCGGTATGGAAAAAGTTTTAATTCACATTCTTTGATTTGGCAAAGGTTTTACACCATTTATCCGGGCTTGGGACTAGCACTATAAAACACTGATTCGTGTACCCTAGTGGCTGGTACTCACTTGAGTATACTGTAAAGGGGAAATATGCTGACTTTACCCATTAATGGAAAACCCATTTATGAGTATGATGGTTCACCACAGAGTTTCTGCAGAGAAGCAGAATCGTGAGATAATGTCTTCAACAGATCAGTTTTCAAGACGATCAGTTTACAAATGACTGCGAACAAGTGTTCTTGTGGTGAGGATTGCTATATAGCATATGCAACTTTTAGAGTATATATTAGACGTCTTTTATGGTGCTTGGCTTAGTCTGTTGAACATGGAACACTTTTTTTTGTTTAACAAGGTAAAACTTGGGCAGTTAAAAAAAATGAGCTGCAAAGTACAATGTACAATATCTTTTTAACCCTTTGATGCATGACCCATGATATACTGAGTTAAAAAAATGTTACTAAGTGTTTTTATGTGTTTTTAGACATAAAAATAAGAACTGATTTGGTTCTGTTTTTATACACCAATTTTTCTTTTTGAATGTTGACACAATTATTCTGCAGTTGCAAAGGCTGACCACTGTATGGCAGTGTTGGGTGATTCTCAGGTGTCCACTGTAGAGGCTTATATGCAACACTGCCATCAAAACCTATTCTTATCCTATCATAGAAAATGACATTTTCATAGCTGTCCACTGTAGTGACCGTCATGCATGAAGGGGTTAATGTAAGATAATACAAGGAAAAATGGGATGGTCATACACTATCTTGTAATTCAACCAGTAATGCTGCTATAGGTTTTAAATCATGCACCAAATCATGCGCAAAACCACATCAAATTACATCTGTCTGAAATGACTACTCTTAGTGGAAAGTCCTCTTCCTTATGAAACTATTACACAATGTATGTACACCAACCTCAATTTCAATGAAATTAGGACAGCGTCTAAAACTAAAGATGCACGGATTGCAGTTGTTTGCCTGATTTCGGATTGTTTGGTAAATCTATAATACCAAAAAGTACTGCAGTGTCCAAAACAGCTCAATTCTGAAGGAAAGAACAGCAGCTGTGTTGTTGTTAGCCAGTGCTAACTGGCCATAGTGGTATTTTGCGTATATATTGAAATGAAATTATAAATAGTGAGCTTGGAGCTTTTGCAGCCTAGTAAAAAAAAATAAATAAATAAGATATTGCTTAGATGGCAGATTGTGCGGCTCCAAAAAGATATGCTGCAAACTGTATTTTAAACCTCTATAGAAGGCGTTCACAGTTGTTACACAGCGCCATACTATTACAGATGCTGGCTTTTGGCCATTGCAGTAATATCAACCTGAGAAATCCCTTCCCTCCATTATTTCCAGAAAAAATGGACTCAGACCATGGACATTCCATTCCCTCCCACTCAATTCAAATACCGAATTTCAAGTGAATTTTGGCTTTTTGGCCGAAAATACTTTTATCACTGAAATAACACAGCCAAAACAGGTTACGATGATGCAAGCAAAAACCGCGGCCAGTGTGGTCTGAAAGTGCCAACATGTCTGCAAACTTGAACATGTCTGCACTGTGGATGTATTTCAATATATCTGAGAAAGACCCAAGGATAGTTTTTTTTTTATTTTTTATTTTTTTGCGGGAATAAAGAAGCGTGCACAAGAAATGATCCATGCCGCAATGGACACGCAATGAGAGCCCTCTTGGAGATGCAGAAACTCACAGAGCCGTGTGCCCAATAATAAATGCAATAGTACTCATAATTTATAATAATTTCTTACGGTGTTTCGGTTTTCGCCCTTCGTTTCCTCATTTTTGGTTTTTGGTTTCGGCCAAGTACGGTGTGTCCCTAATATAGATTTGTATGTGTGACATGACCAAAAAAGTTCTAATCTTCTTCTTCTAAAGGTGCATTGACAATAGGCCAGTAAATATAGGCAAAGTAGGCAATACTTTGCCTATATTTATCTGACTGAAAAGTCGCTGCTAAAATATTTAATTTGTTTGAGTCAGTGGGATAATGGAGGTTTTTGACCTATTCACTTTTTCAGGTTCAAAATCAGGTCTGAGATACCATATGTAACATGAGAATGAACCATTATTACATGTAGATTGATTTGGCAACACCAATTCGCACTCGTATAAGGCTTCATCAATGTTGTCTTATTAGGAATGGAAAAGTACTACCTTTTTCCATAAAGGTTCATGAACACATCTCCTGCCATGTTCCTGAGTTTATTAAACATCACCACTATCTTTCCCAGAACAGCTGGCATTGACAGAACAAATACATAATTGTGAGTACACAAGTGTTCTTGTTTGTAGAGGGCAGATATTGAGTGTTAAATGTTCAAAGTGTTAACATACCAAATGTTGACAGTATTTCCAGCCTCTGGACATTTATCACCATGAGTCTTAATTGTATCTCTGTAAATCTTTATGAATAACTGCAGGGCGCACTAATATTGGATTTTGTGACCTACATGATGGATGCTGAGATGAATAAATGATGTGAAGTGGAATTGGAGTAAGCTTAAAAATGAAGGCTGTTTGGTCTTAAAGACAGATAAGAGTAAGGGTGCGACGAAGAGCTGAATGTACTGTGTATATATATATATATATATATATATATATGTATATATACATACTTTTACATTACATTTTCTATACATTTCTGTTCATTTCTTGGACCGAAAAACTGAAACAAAACAATTTTCACCATAGGAATCAATGTCAAATGGATTAATCTGTTCCTGCTTATTCAAACTTTTTCAACACTATATACTATCGGTGCTGAGGAGCTGTGATTGCGCAATGTTCACTTTCTCACAAATTATTGTCTCTGAAATACTGTCGCCGATCAACTGCTATTCGTTGATCCAAATCAGTAGTATTGATTTGGTGATGGTTGACCATACTGTAAAGACAGGGCTGAAAGAGAGTTGTTCTCATTATATATATATATATATATATATAGTGATTTGTATCCCCACTGTGACAGGCTTCAGAATCATAATGTGAAGGGCATACATCACGTGGTCATCAGCTTCTGCTGTTTTGGAAACATAAATGCAAATAAGGCAGGCAGTGCAAAGTGAATTTATTGTCTTGAGACAATTCAAAGTGTCATTACTGAACAGTGGAAACAGCTTTAAATTTTCAGTGATTTTGAAAAGTGACATTTTAGAAGTATGTTAGTGAGCCAATTTGCATTCGTCCAGTTAGTCTCTAGTATTTATGTGGGCTTTATATACTTTTTTGACAAATACGCAACTTTAATTGTGTCTTTTACCGGGACTGGTCCAATAAACATTGACTCTAGCTGACCTTCAGGGAGCCATGGTTTACTGAATCACAGTTGTGTTGGTGCAAGCGTGTGTCTACGTGTGGCCATGATTCCACAAATAGTTGTCTAGCGGAGTAAGTCTACTAAAGGGCAGAAAATGAGTCACCTAGGAGAACATTTTCACACAAAATCAAAGTAATAAATAAAACAAGTCAATAAATATCCCGTTATTTATTGACTTGTTTTATTTGTTACAAATGTATTGTCATGATGTCCTGCACAATGATGCTCCTGGGTCTCTCTAACCCCCCATTCAAACATTAACACAGCTTGGGTGTGGTCATCACCATTGGTTTACTACAACATTTCTGGTTTCAGGATTCACAAGCGTTCTATAAAAATTTGTTACTGTCCATCCATCCAGCTGTCTTTGTCCGCTTATCCGTTACCGGGTCGCAGGGTCAGCAGTTTCCATGTCCACCACCCAAATAACACTGCACTGCACCAGCCCCTTTGTTCACCTTCCTGCGGGTGGTGAGTCCACTGGAAGGCGCTAACCGCCCTAACCGGGATTCGATCTTGCCCAGGAGGGGGATCATGGGGTTCCACACCAATGACATTTTTTAATGGTTTTTTATTTAAAAACAAAATTCTTTATTTCTTAGAAATTGGCGGCAACCGCTGAGGACCTGCAGGCGGCACATAAATGGAAGAATGAGTTTGAGGTAAGACAGCTTTATACTGCAATAGCTAAAAAATGTTTTTTACTTTTTTTCAAATATTGATATTAAGTTTACAAAGGGTCTCCAGGCTGTATGTAACGTATCAATGCATGATCAATGGTTTGGCATAAACCTAGGCAGTGTCAGCACCTTAATAAACCAAATGTTTGTTGTTTCAAGTTTGTTGTTTATATACTTCTTTTCTTTCGGCTCTGTCCCTTTTTTCAGGGGTTGCCACAGCGAATCATTGATTTCCATATTGCCCTGTTCTCTGCATCTTCGACTATGACTCCAACTATCTGCATGTCCTCCCTCACTGCATCCATATAGCTCCTCTTTGGCCTTCCTCTTTGTCTCCTACCTGGTAGCTCCATCTCTAACATT